CATGAGACAGATCAGTGGGGAAATCTGAATTTAAAGGGAGAGGCGGCAGGAAGGGGAAAATGGGAGCAAAGAGGGGAACCACACTGGGTTGAACCACAGGGTTTCCTGGCACAGAGTCACCAATCACGACCTCTACCACACACCAGGTCCATGGTGCAGCCTAAAAATCTTTGCTCCAAGCAGGGAACAATTTCCCAAAACTGTGATGAAAACCCCCTGACAGCTCCAGAGCACTGTTCAAGTTCGAGGTGAGCAGTCAGGACTGGGGAGCAGGGTTTGCATAATTTGCCTTTCATTAGACTTTCCCAGGAGGCAGCAGCGGCAGCAAATCAGCTTTAAAATGTTGTGCAAATCAGCTTTTAAAATATTGCACAAACAGCTTGGCAGCTCCCCTTGCCAGAGCTCGCCGGATCAGCTCTGAGTTTTGGAACATCCCCCCAGCAAAAAGCTACTGAGATCAGCATTTTCAGCTGCTTGGGATTGTAAATGTTGGTTGCAAACACATGCAGGAGTGCACACACAACCCCCAAAACACGGGGAGAGCAGAGGTTTAGCAGCAACATTTGCACAACCAATCTGCCGGGGGWTTGGAATCCATCCGTGAAAACTGAACCRCGGYKTYGGTGCCAAGAAATTTCCTGYTCAGCTCTTAGCTCCCATTCTTTGRTGSTGTGAGGATGCAGGGATGAAAGACTGAAAGCATTCCCAACACCTTGCACTCCCAGAGAGACAATGGGCAGCCCAACAAAGCTGCTGGACCTTGGGAGGATGAGGGTGGAGCAGCCAGAGCTCCCAGGACAGGGAAGGACCTGGTTTAGGGGATGACTTTCCTGCCCAAGGCAAGGGGCTGTAATGAGATGACCTTTAGGATCTCTTCCAACCCAAACCACTCTCTAGGATGCTGAATTAGGTGCTGCTTTGCCTCCAGTTCAGAAATGGCATCCAAACATCTCAATCCATGCTCAGCACTGGGCAAACCTTTCATCTGTGTCCTACCAGGCACTTCAGTGCCAGCTCTGGCAGATTTCTGTACCCACCCTCGATGGCATCAGTGTCCCTCAGATCCAGCCACATCCAAACTGGATTTTGCTCTTTTCATGCTCGGACTGCAGCTAATTAAATCCAGGTCTGAGCATGGCAGGGGAACATCTCCCTCCTCCTGGACACAACCCTCTCTCTGCTTTTGGAAAGCCAAAAGCAATGGGATGGAGTGCAGAGCAAAAGGGACAATGGTTCCAACTCCTGCCTTTACTTGCCAAAAACTGGGTTGTTGTACAAGTGCTTTAATTCCATTTCAGCCTGGAGAAACAAGAGATTCAGCAGAGCAGGCCAGCTCCCACCTAAGCCCACTCTGGAACCTGCCCACCAATCCAATGCTCAGTTTGCTCTTTGGAGAGCAGAAAATATAAGAAAATCCCCTTTTAWTAATTTCTCAACGGTTCACCTACATCTCAACCATCTTCTAATACTACAGCAATTTTCACTGCCAGCCTGAGGGACCAATTCTGCCCTGGGCTACAACAAAAATGTGATTCCACAAGCAGGGAGACCCTCTGGATTCTTCAGCTTTGCCTTGGATCTGCTCAGAAATGCCAAATTAATCCCAGACCAACAAGAACAGGGAGCTGAGTGTAAATATGTTGCCTGCCTCTGTGTGCATATGCTACTTAATGGAGCATAAAAGGACAAGAATGGAATCATTTTTCAGATGCAGCAGATAATAATAATAAATAATAATAAYAAATGCAGGGGCTTGTGCCAAATGTCTGAGATCTCAAGGAGAGGAACTGACTGCAGGCAGGCGAGGAGCCAGGTAGGTGCTCAAACTGAGATGCAAAAGTCAGTGAAGTAAAACCACCATTAAATCAAACACTTTGTATCCTTGTCAAGTCCACTCAGGATTTAAGACCTTGCCTTCAGAGTAGTTTTTTCAGTTCTTTTTTCTTTCTAAGATGCTTATTCTTTGACAACTACTCCCTGTATGGGATTTATGGTCCGAACACTTCCTGGTAACTTGGGATTGCTTTTTTTTTTTTCCTTGCTGACCACAACCACATTACTCAAACCCTCCTGAACAGCACGAGTCACCGCTGGAATTCTGGCAAAAAATCATTTTTCTGTATCACAGCAGCACAACATTAAGTTCATATCACCTGAACTGTACCTCCATAGGCCACATTTGCAACTGATTTTGCTTTACTCTCCTTTCAGTGCACAATTTGGGGTGAGCGCTGCAGAGAGCCAAGCACTGCTTTGCTGAGCTCAATTTGAATGATTCTACATTCCTAGGTCCCAGTTCATGTATCTTTTATGTGGAAAAATCCAAAATTACACTAAAAGACAGCTCAGTAAGAAGCAGTGTTTGTGTGAAGGAAGAAGTACTCCCCACCAGACCGAAGAAAATACTGAGAGAGCAAAACACTTCACTGCTAAAACTGTGATGATTTCACCCCAAAAAAAAAGCAAATGGACCAATGAGAATAAAGGGAAACCCACAGAACTCACCCATCATTTTCATCCCASAGGATGCAGGTCTGGTTGGTGGTTCCCTGCCAGGAGGAGAGAAAGGGAAAACAGAAACAAATCAGTGTCAYGCTGTTTATGGAGTGTCTGGACTAGAGTGAGAAGTGTGGGATCTGTGAAAYCCCTCTAAAGTGCTCTAAGGAAGGTGTGTCTGGGATACACCAGATGAGTTGCTGTGCATCTCAGCCCTTGGAATGGTTTCTTCGAGGATGAGATTGAAAAAAAACAGAATAAAACACGCCTTGGTTTGTTCTGCATCACGACCACTGCAGAGGGATTTGACTCTGCCTCTCTCCTGACTCAACTCACAGATATTTCTCCTTATCCCTCCTCTCACACAGAATCCTTTTGCTGCTCCCTTCTGGAAAGTGGATCAAATACAGCCTGTGCTTTTGTGGGATGTGGTGCTCAGGAACACCACAGCCCTGCAGGAGGGGATCAGGTGTGTTTCAAGCCCCCTGGAAGAGGTTTGTCACTGACTCCATCTGTCTGAGGCAGCTTTGGAAAATCCCTCCAGGACAGTCCAAAGACACAACAGATCTGATATTCATGTTGTGGAGCCTCAGGAGGGCATCTCATCTCCACAACAAGGACGGGCCTTGGGGTRTGGAAATGTCCATCCCATGAATCTGCTTAGGGTTGAGCAGAGGAACCTGGAGGGAATTTTTGACTGCCTTGGAAAGCACARAGGACAACAGGAATATTCCAGAATTAATGGGAACAACCTTCCCCCCTGCCTTTCCCTCCTCGAGGAGGACCATTGTTACATCAAGTTGTTTTAATGATTATTATTCTCCTGTGATGACACCCACAATGAAAGGGTGTGACCTGGGGACAAGTGTGGCCAGCAGCGCTGTCACCCTCCTGCTGCTCTGGAAATGCAGCCAGGTTTGGGGAAGATTGAAAGGTCCTGCAGCAAAAAAAAGGTTCCAGGAGCCATCCAAACCACCTTATTCCTTGCACCAACACATTTCTGCCCTGCAGGAGCAAAACACAGCTGTGGGATGGGGCAGATTTCCAGGAACCACTTACGTTGTACAGATGGGAGAATTCGATTTCCAGAGGGGTGAGGAAGGACCGAGGGAATGGCTTCACAGTCACGGAGATGACCTTGGAGTTCAGAATGGTGCTGTTCCTGTGAAGAAGAGGGTAAAGAGAGGCTTTAGAGGGGTTTTTGTGGGGCAGGGAATCCCATTGCAACCATCACTGGTGGTGCAGGGTTTAGAGTACACAGCGCAGAAAGGGTTGACCCCATTGCTTTAATGATGAACCTCATCCTCKGCTCTCTGAGCTCCCCTCACAGCTGATTCACATCGATCCCTCCAAGAATCAGACCCTTTTATGAATCTTATCAATCCCTAAAACARTTAAACTTACAGTCTGTACCTATCCCAGAAATGAAATAATCCTGGACTCAGATTTTCTGTCCCTGCCACGAGGAAACAGAACTCATTTAGACTATGGCGATCCTTGTGAGTCCCTTCCAATGCAGAATATTCCATGATTTCATGTGCTTTCAAAAAAAAAAATGGAAATTTTTTATTTGGAAAATTTTTTGGAAATTTTTTTTGGGAATTTGTTTTCCCTCTCCAAGGCTGGTWATTTGATTTCTTAACCTGCACTGCACAGAGGCTGAGGCGTGGTTGTTTATCTGTGGGGCAGCACATGATCTGGTCTGGAGGCAGGGGTGTGGAGCTTCATTCCCTGAGCACCAAAAAGCAAATGGAAAAAGACCAAACCTTTCATCTAGATGTCTAAATGTCTGTGCCCAGATAAATATTGTAATAAATCTTGCAGCCCTGGGTGATTTTGCTCGTATGAGGGGAAATAAGTGAGGAGATATCTGCCATTCCTGGAAAGCCAAACTCTTTGGACAGGGAACATCTAAACACATGGACTTTCCTCATTTTTCTGCAGTTCACTGGTGTTTAAATAAGCAAAATATCCCCCACAACCAGCAACTAAAAATGCTGCCATGAAGGATTTGGTAATGGAGCAATAGATCCAGATCAGGCTGCTCCCAGCCCTTGTGGCATTCATGGACAAAGGAAATCCTTCCTTATCCAAATCTTCACCAGATTGGCAGGTACTGCTAAAATCTTTCACTTTTCTCTCTGTGTTTTATCTTTCTCTTTAAAAAAATAATTAGGTGGGAAAGATTTGCACTTGCTCAACAGCTGCTAAAAAAAAAAAAAAAAAAAAAAAAAANAAAAAAAAAAAAAAAAAAAAAGATTTAAAGAAAAAAATGGATGGTGATGGATGTGTAAATGGATTCTCAGAAAGCCACTGTTCCACCAACACTAGAGGTAACAACATTGATTTAACAGGGTACAGAACAAAAATCAAAAAAATATATCTTCTCCTTAAAAAAAAGGAAAAAATAAAGAAGAAGAAAAAAATAATCAAGTGTCACAGCCCCACTATCACCCTACAAAGGAAAAGTAAAGGAGTAAATCAATGGGAGTAGACAGCTGTAAGAAGCTAAAAATGGGTTTTGTTGAAAGGTAACCACCAGTGCATGTCTTCATTAGAGGCTGTGTCTGTAAGGGTCAGTCCTTGGGTCAGTGCTGCTGAATATTTGCATGAGCAGTGTGGATGACACCGAAACCTCCTTGTGAAGGCTGAGGGGTGGGTGGGAATCGCTGCAGCCAACAAAAACACAAAGAGCATTTGATTTTTCAGTGTGGTGAGTCCTTGGAACACAAGAGTCACTGGGGTGCAGAGCRTGAAGGGCGATCAGTGGCCAAGCGGCCACTGCTCAAACAGAAGCTGAAGGAGGCTTAAAAAAAATGGAGAGCAACTTTTACATGGGCAGCGAAGGATAGTGTGAGGGGGAACGGTTTTAAACCAAAAGAAAAGAGGTTTGGAATAGATGTCAGGAAGAAATTCTCTGTGCAGAGGGAGGTGTGGCCTTGGTACAGAAAAAATGTGGGTGCTCCATCCCTGAAAATATTCAAGGCCAGGTTAGACAGGGCTTGGAGCAACCTGGGATAGTGGAAAACATCTCTGCCCATGGGCAGGGRAGTGGAACAAGATGTTCCTTAAAATCCCTTCCACTGAGATGAAGAAAAAACTTCTGTCTGTACCCTCCTTGTCTGGATTCCATTGTGCTGCTGGGTCCGGCTTCACTTTGAGACGGGGAAACAGCAAAGGCAGCTCAAAACAGAGATCCAAAATCGATCCAGGTGCCAGAAAACCAGACAAAAAGTTCTCTGTTGGAAGGCTTGTCTGACAGTTCCTTGCATGCTGGGGGCTTTTCAGTCACCCACCCAAAGGCCCCGTGCCTGGAAGTGAAAGTCAGACAAATTCAGCCTGAAAAAGAGAAAGCCAGGCTGCTGGCAGAGAAGGTAATTAAACATCTGAGCAGCTTGTCGGGGGTGGTGGGGGACTGGGTGTCACGGGGAATCTTTCAGGAGGAAGATGAGTCGCTTTTCCTGAAAGCACGTTGCAGCCCAGCTTCTGGGAAGAAAACAAAAACACGTGGAGATCTGGCTCGAGCAGGRGCTCAGAGAAGCTCAGAGGGCTCCTGTGTGGCCACTGAGGGTGTGCAAAGAGCTGTGAGCACAGTGCTGGGGACACAGGGACAGCCAGGCTGGTGGCTCTCTGCTGTCTGTGTCCTCTGCAGCAGAGTCCAGCTGGGACCAAGTGCCCCTCTCACCTCCCCGGCTTGGAAAATCAGGTTTTGCACTTATCCCATCCAAAAATCAGGTTTTGCGTGTATCCCATCCCMATTGTCACAGCTGCCAAGATCCGCTGGGCTCTCTGGATCCAAGGGACAGAGTAATGCGTGACTCAGAGATGGAATTGCTGCTTGGGGGAGGTAAATTGGGACAATTAGGAACAGCTCAGCTGGTGCTGTTTGCTGAGTTAAAGCTACTTCTTTTTTTGTTTTTCCTTTTTTTGAAAAAATCACTCTGCATTGAATCAGAATGGTCCAATCCAGGGTGTGGGTCCACATTGCTTATATGTACCCAGGAACAGCTGCTCTCCTCAGTGGTCAGAAATATTTTTTACCCATGGGCWGCTACATGGTTATTTAATAACCTTCTCCTTTTTAATGCTGTGTTCATTTGCACAGCGCTGAAGTGAGAGGTACTTCACTACTGCTGCTGCTGCTTTCATTTCTCTACATTTTTTTTCTTCCTTTGACTCTCCACAGGTGATTCAAGGCTCGAGATTTTTTTTAAAGAGGGACTGTCCTTTAATTAAGGAACATCTTAAATCAGCTCTCCCGCAGGAATGCTGTTTGGAGGCCATGGCTGCCGCAGCTGCTGGTTATCAGAGCTCATTCCCTGCTTGGCCAGAGGAAGCTGAAATACCTCTGGATCATTTGAGCCAATGATGTTTATTGCCCTTCTGATCTAATTCCCACTGCTGTAATGGAAGATATTACAGAATACAGTTGGCTGGCTTGCTAATTCCTCTCTGCGCTCACTCGGAGCTCTTTTGCCATCGCCAGTGCTAAATCTGGAGGTATTTAAATGATTATCGGTGAGGAGAGATGCTCTGGTGTTTATGGTAAATGGGCTCACACTAATCAGTGCAGAACAGATTTAGAAGGTGCCTTAGGATGCTTAATTTACTGCCTTAGTACCAGTCTCGGGGAGGGAAAAAAAAAATAAAAAAATAAAAAAATAAAAAAAAAAAGAGCGAGAGGAAAAGGGAGAGGAGCGAAGAAAAGGGAAGGGAGCGCTGAACACAAAAGCTTTGGTGCCCGAGGCAGTTTGCAGCGCTGGGAACACGGCAGACATGTGCAGCCAGGCGTGCTCTGATCCCCTCTCTGCTCCCCGAGCCCATCTTGAGCCGTGCTGCTCTCCAGGGCTCAGCGTGGCTGGCAGCTCGCCGCCACCTCGGGGACATCGGGGCAGCTGAGCATCCCCCATCTGTCAGGGCWGCCAAAATCCCTCGTGACAAGGAGGGCAGGGTGAGGCTCTGCTCCTGGAGGGTGAAGGGTGGTGGGGAGGAATGAGACAGCAGCACTGAGCCTCCTCCTCTCATTTCTGGGGTGCTGCACGTGGGTGAGGAAAACCTTCTTGCTCCTCCAGCACTGGTCCCACCTGAACGCGAGCGTCAAAATATCCCCACTGTAAGTTAAAATCTGTCTCGCTGCACACAGGGATTTCTACTTTTCCCTGGAAAACCGGGGTTCTGCAGCCTGAGGGACCTTCCTGGTGATCTCCCAGATGCTCCCCATCCCCAGGCAGCCCCTCGTACCTCTGCAGGGAGAGGATGTTGCCCACGTTCCGGTACAGCACRGTCCCAACCACGAAGACGGAGGAGTCGTCCGACACTGCGGGAAATGGAAGGAGAGGGAAGAAGACAACAGCACTGAGACAATTGGGGTGGCAGCTGTCCCCAAAGGACACCCAGGGCTGGGATTTGGCCTTGTGTGGCCTTTGGGCTCTCTGTTGGGGCATGGCTAATGCCAGCGTCCCTGTGCTGAGATGGAGTGGCTGCTGTCACCACAGGGAGGGCTCAGCACWTTTGGCATCCCAGATTTCTGCCCTMACTGAGRCTCACYCATCCCAAACAGTGCTCCCCCATTCAGAAACTCCCAAATCCCTCTGACAGCACCACAACAGACAGATCTTCAGTGGGGAAAGGTCTCTTGCAGCCACCTCGAGGCCTCTGGAGCCATCCACAGCTATCAGGATATCAGAGAGAAGAGAGGCGCTTGGGCCGACAAGGGCAGAGGAAAGGGGAGCCGTTCCACTGCTCTGACCCCAAAATTCATGTGCTGCCCCTGGGGGCTGCAGCAGATCCAGATGAGCCTCTGAATCATCTGTGTGACCTCTGGGCATGTCGCTTGACCTCCTCCTTCTCCTTCTCCTCTTATTTTTCCTCCTCCTACTCTGCCACTGCCTTACTGTGCCCAGCTGCAAAAAGCAAGAACTCCCCCTGATAAACCACAGCAGAGGCAGCCCCAGGGCTGGATTTTCAGGGGGAGGAAAAGCGAGTGGCTGAGTGAAAAGCAGTGCTGAGGAAAGCACCAGGTGGGGCTGCTCTGATGTCTTGTGCTGAGGCTGAGCTGACTGTGTGTCTGCTCCATCAGTGCAGGACAGGCACACAGCCCTGCATGTCCGTCTTTCTTATCATCAAATTGGGATATCTGGTGAGCACATAACGGGGAGAAACTGACAGACAGGCTGGCAGAGAGACTGTGTCACCCAACTGCATAAATCAGTGTTGGCCCATGGAAATCAACTGTTCAAAGTCAGCTGCCAGTAGTGAGGGGGTTTGGATCTGGWCTCATGAAGCTGCCTGTCTTCATCACTTTGCTCAGGAGAGTTACTCCTACTCCCTGCAGCCAGAGAAAAGTGAGGATCTAAACTAATAGAGGTGAATTTCTGCTGGGATCGCCGAGTAAAACCCTCAAAAACTGCACCACCAGCAGGAGATACTGAACAACACGAGGCAGAAGAGCCCTGGGGGGTTCTCAGGAAGCCAAGGAGAGGTGAAGTTGTTTCCTCAGGGTGGATGTCACCTTTTGTTTGCTCAGTCACTATAGCTTGGGGGCCCTGGAGCAGCTCTTCTGTTGGATGCTTCCAACAGAAATCTGGAAAACAGCTCAGTAGGGAACTGGAYACTTTTAGGACAGCCCTCAGCCTCAAAGCAGCATGAGCTCTGTCTGGGTCTGGTGTCAGTAATTTGTCCAACAAGTGGTTAAAGGCTTCCAAAGGTGCAGCATTCCCAAAGAAACCGGGACAAGGCACCCAACTCCTCCCAAGGAGAGCTCAAAGAGTTGTCTGCAAGGCACAAAAACACACAAGGAGTGCTTGACACAGCYTTGCTCTGCCACTGACTCACTGTTTATCCTTGGGGGTGTCACTTAACTGTTCTTGGCCTCTCATTTCCCAAGTTGAAGGGATGGCTGATGCCATCCCCAGCAGGGAAAGCCCAAGACAAAAAATCCTGGTGTGACAACAAGAGGCCAAAGGTCTTTTGTAGCAACAGCTCAGTCTCCAGCCTCTGTCCCAAGGAAGGGGGAGGCAGCAGCTCTTAAAGCTGTGGGTGCCAAAAGGAAATCCCATCATTTCTCAGAGATCTGCCCAATTTACAGTCTTGCTTTTGAGAACTCCAGGCTCAATTCTGCCCAATATTARATGTCTCTGCCAAAAAATGAGCACTTTGAGTGTGTTGGTTGCTGGGGCTTTACATCCAACAGGTCATCCCAGAGCCCTACCAGTTTTCTTCCAGATCTGGCAGTGAGACAATCTTTGCTGAGGCATCACCTCCATGCTGGGGTTCATATCCACGCCCTGATGTGATCAGGAGCCTCAGTGACAAATGSCCTCTGAATTTCATCTCTGGGAGCAGGAAATTTCACACAAGGGCCATTAAACCCCCAGATCTATCAAAACTTGTYCATGCAGCAGATTCAGAGCCACCAGCTGCTCAGCCTGACCTGCTGACTCCCAGCTCTTCACCCTCAGATGCCTCCATCAGGTCTGGAGCCAGTCTTGCGAGGCATCTGTACCATTTTTGCCTATTTTTCCTGTTTCTTTAGGAAGAGATAAACATCCACACCCAGGAACTAAGCCTGCCCCTGAACTTCTGTGCGGAGTTTAGGGTGAGCTCTTGGTCAGGCCATATTTGAAAGCCTTCTTTGCACTCATCAATGCTTTTGGTGTCCAAATATTTGTGAGCAAATCCAGCTGGGCTGGAAGGGGGCCGTTCAGAAAACGAAAGAGGAATTTTCTGCTGGAATGCCCTGGCTGTGCTGCCTACCTGAGAGCCCTGAAGACAGGATGTTCTTGGAGACAGTCACCTTGTCCTCCGAGTTCTTGGCCCAGTCCACCATTCCCCTCCAGCCTTTCATGGGGAAGGTGATGTCGGTCGCTGCGTTCGCAGGCAGTTTGTGAATGCCAAGGACTGGGGAGAAGCAAGAAACAAAACCAGTAAGTGATACCAGCTCCAGTAAATTCCACATGTACTCAGGAAAACGTGGGAATTGCTAGTGGGAAATGAGATACACTGGATCTTGGGAGCCATAAGAATAATGCTCTCTTGGGGTAAAGTCTATGCATGAAAGAAGATAAAACCAGAGGTTAAGATTCACTGAAAAAGTCCTGACTGCACTAAATCTGGGTGAGGAGAGATCAGTCTGCTCCAGTACCTTATCTCCAGGACTGGCCAGGAGCAGCTGATAAGGAGAGTGAGAAAGAATGAGACATTTCTTGGTTTGTCCTCCCAGCAACCAGCAGGACTTCCTGGGCTCCTGGCTGCATCCAGATCATCAACTTTAACAGCCACCAATGGACCTCTCTTTTGTGCACTTTTCTAATCCCATCATGAGCCCATCTGTACTTTTTGGCTTCTGCAACCTCCTCTGGCAACAAGTTCCACGCTGCGATTGTTCATGCAATATCAATCAAACGCTGCCTACTGTTTGCTCGCTGCCTTCACTGGCTGCTGGGCTGTTCTTGTGTTCAAAACATAAAAGAAAGAATCTAATTCTGCCCAGTTCATCATCTGTTCTCCATTCTGTAGATATCTCTYAGATCTCTCTGTGGATATCTCTTTTTCGTCATGAAATCCTAACTTCTTTGGACAAAAGACACCCCATGTTTACATCCATGTCTTCCTCCAGACCTTTTAATGTCCCACCACCTGCTGCCTCCCCTCCTTGCCTCCCTACAAGCCCAGGTTATCCAAATTGCACAGTAATTAACAGCTTTCAGGGGTCTCTCCCCGATGTGGAGAGTGCAAAGGAATTCACCCAGATTGTCCGTGACTTGGTAGGAATCCCGGAAATCTTTCATGCGAAAGCCGATGACATCAATGAAATCCTCCACGAGCCTGAACAGCTCCTTGGCGTTTGGTCCTATCTGAAAAAAAAAAGAGGCAGAATTTGGAATAGGTYAGATCCTAATGAGCACAAGCAGGAGCTTCTCTGTGGGCAAGGGTTTCTGCCCTCACATGTGAACTGGAAGCATATGCTGGGTGTAATGGGGTGTTATGGAGCTGTGGAAAACAAGGATTGAGAAATCCTAAAGAAAAAAAGGAAAAGGAAAAGAGAAAAGAAGAAAAAGAAAAAGAAAAAGAAAAAGAAAAAGAAAAAGAAAAAGAAAAAGAAAAAGAAAAAGAAAAAGAAAAAGAAAAAGAGAGAAAAGAATGCTGTTATGACACTCAGATCAATAAAATGTACAGTTGAGGGCAGGATTTAAAACAAAAGGAAATATTTTATACTCTCCAGAGAAGAAAATACCCTACCCATTTCCTTTCATAAAWYCATAGAAATACAGAATGGTTTGAGTTGGAAGGAGCCTCAAAGATCATCTYATTCTAAATCCTTCTATTGAAAGCAGCCCCACAAAGGACACCCCTGGTATCATGTTGAATCCCAGGCAGCCTGATTTTCCAATTTCCTGTTTTGCTGACAGGATCTCACTCCCAAAATAATCAAATTCATAGTCCTCAGCTATCCTGGATTTTCTCTGCATCTTATTTCTTTCCTGGTGTTTCCCCAGTGATACAGACACTGATKGTGACTGTTTTTTTACCTATACTCTGCCAACTTAACACAGGACTGTTAAACAATAACTGTTTTTCCAGTGAAAACATAATCCATAAAAAAAATTCAACTTGGAGCAACCTCTGCAACTATATGTCTTTTCCTCAAAGAACATTTGATGACAGTGGCTTAGCAAATAGCGTGAGAGGCTGAAGAAAAGCAGCTTTCACCTCCTCYTCCTTTTTCAAAACTTATCATTCATAAAAGGAAGAATTTACTTACAGGAAAGAAAATGAAATCATGAAATCAGAGATCAAATGTAACAAACACTCTGGAAATGAAATATGATGTTTAAAAAAAAAAATAGAAATGGAGTAAAATGGAGTAAAAGCAATGCAATGGATTGGTACGAAATGAGGTGCAGTGAAAAGGATCGAAACTTGCCAAAAATACAGACATTGAAATAGGGGGATTTGGGAACAAAGCAAAATGAAGAGACGATATGAAGTGCATGGAAATGGACCAAACCTTGCTGAATTGATGAACATTGAAATTGGAAGATTTCCTG